TTTACACGATGTTTAGACATAAAACGAAAAAATATTTTTATTATTATTAAATGTTTGTTTTTTTTGTTGATTTTTTTCTAAGATCTTTTAAATTTTCTCAATCTCACTTTTCAGAGTAAAGGTACACGTACATTTGAACAAGTCTATTTTGAAAAAAAGTATAAATATGTGTTTTATTCAGTGATGAAGAGTTTTGAGATTAGGATATGTTTATTTTAAATTTTTTTTAATCTTGAAGATTTTTATATCTATGTTTAAATGATTTGTTGATCGAGTTTACTTATAAACGTTTTTAAAATATATCGATATATTGATTTCATGTATTGTGTAGAGGTGAATCGATATTAGTGTAAAGTGACATTACTCTTTAACGAGGATGTTTAGCCTTGATTGGGATTTCGGTTTTCGTCCAGATCGATATAGAGGTAAGAAAACTTCGTTTCTGTAATTTTTATTTTTTACTATTGTAAGAGAGATGGTCGATAATAATCGATTTCTTAAATAAGAAAAGAAAAGTGTAGGATTGAAAGTAGATATATTTCATTAAACTATTCACGATGTTTCCTTTCTGGAGTTGTCTCGATATGTGCTTAACGACGTTAATTTTGCAATCAGTATTACCGCAGTCGCACACGCTTTATTTATCATTTATATCTATACATAGCTGACGCGCAAATTAAATTTTATAATATCTTATACTATTTATAATCTTTCTCTTCATTTAAATAATAATCAATAGGAAGAATCACAGATTTCTTCTTTTCCGCCGTTTTGACACAGTGGCATGTAGCATTCATGTAGCGGAAGCAACGTGCTCTGACAGGCGTAATGTTCAATTAAACGACGACTCCGGAGATAGCGCACATTTATCGTTGATTATATTCATTTAATTATCTCGTTACGCCACGCGAAATTACACTTGCATGAAGCGCGGGTGTAACAAGCGGTATATCTATTGACGTAGTTACTAGAAGAAATATTTGAAATTTAAGTAATATTAATTATTTCGATCCCATTTCTTTTGAAATTTAAAATATGTTATGTTAGGATATACATCAGATACACAAACAGAATAATATTTAAAATAAAAATAGAAATGTTTACATAAGATTTCCACATTATAAATGAATTATAATGGAAAATAATAACTTATTTAGAATGTACTAGAATGTATAATATTAATATTTATATATTAAAATATTAATATTATATTTAGTTCATTTTAAAAGTCAAAAGTCAATATTTCGAATATATAATTTAGGCATTTAAAGTAATTGATTTAAATTGAGGTTAAGCTAATTATGCTTATAGTCGGTCAATTGTGAGTGACCGTGACTTGTGATTTTGAATAATTAACCGTTTTTTTAATTCTGCTTAGTGCTTTTAAATAACATAATAGCTGCCGTAAATATCAGAATATATTTCTATCACGAGAGTTTTATAATTTTCGAGTAAATTTCCGAGTTGATTTTCTTATATGAGTACGTGGATGTAGCAAATTACTGCATGAAACATTTATCTTTTTTTTCTTTGAAATATTGCTTTTGAGTTATCAGCTGTGTATTCATACGTATATTCTTACATATCTATTAGTTTATTTACTATATCATAATTATTACTATATCATAAAATTTTGTTGCTTTCATTATTACGCTCATGAATAAATACTATAATTAAATATTTTGAATAAAGGTTTTAATACTTATTTTATATAATAATAAATATAAAAAAAAATTTTATATAATAAAAGTTATATAATAATTGGCGTGAATTATAATGATATAAAATGATTTCATATCATTATAATTCACGCCAAAACATAGAATGCACAGGAAATGAAGCTGTAGAAAATTTTAATTAGATTATTAATAGAACATTATGTAATTATGTAATTTTAATAATTAATAAAATAAAATATTATACAATTAGAGAAATATGATTTCTGTTCAACTGATATTTATAAATGACATTGACGTGTTAGCCAATGATATATTCGTTAATTATTACTCATAATCCTCGCGGGTTCGCACAATCAGCTCGCTCAATCCTCATTACGTATATTCAACGTCCAATTGTTTACCCTACGGGCATATAAGCCTGGACAATTACATGGAACGCTGTGTTCCGCATCTTCTCTTCGTCTTCCTTCCTTTTCTTCTCTTCGTCTTCCTCCTCCGTTTGCTATCTCCAGTGCATACGGGGCTCTCTCTCGCTGTGTCGCTTCTTTCTCTGATTTATCGACGTATTTCTAATCAAGAGACCGCGCGCGATCGGTGGAAGCTGTATTAGTTAACCTTGTCAGATAGGTAGGTAGGTACCTTCAGGCTGGTCGTTCTCGTTCATGCTAAGTAGTCAGTAGCTTCGTGGGTGGTGCTCCAGACTGCTATCTAGCACTCGCACCGGTATTCGATCGATCGATCGTTGCGCGTTTTTATTTTCTTCCTTTTAAAGGAAGGAAGCCTGATTAGTTATCATGTAGGAAATGTAGGAAAAACTCTCGGATTAATGAGAAAGCGGAAGAAAATATTAAAAAATTTCTCTTTAATTT